CATAGCCATCGACACCATCGTCAGCAACAGCAACAACAACACCGGCGCAGTCATCGAAACAGTCATCGCCGGCAACAACACCACCAGTTGTCGTCTTCGTCGTTGTCGACGTCGACAACATCGGTGGTCAACAACAACAACGATAGACATCATAATAATCATCATCGGTCTAAACGACACAAGAGGTGTAGCGGCAAACATACGACTACAACGACGACATCGACAACAATCTATGGCAACGACAACATTAACAACAAGACTAATAATAGGTCCCGAAGTGATCTTCGGGTGAGTTGTTGTACACATTATGTGTGTTGGTTTGGTTTGGGTCATCACAGAGATGTGATGATCATATGTTAAATAAATCAATTATAAATATATGATATGATATACAGTATGTCTCTTCAGTAATCATTTCCCCATTATTTTTCTTTGTCTCAACAAAAAACAAAAGATATCCCATTATAAAAGATATCCATTCATTCATTCATTCATTGCCACCGATGATGATGATGATGACAGTGTGTATCTGTGTGTCTGACTGTCATTTAAAGTACCAAAAAATTAAATTAAATTAAAAGACATTTTCCAATGAATCAGTTGTTCAGATGTCAGTAGTCATCTCACCATCTCTTAGGGAGAGTAGAGGAGGAGAAGAGACGCCATATATACCACACATACATCTGATATCATATGATATTATATGTCTCTCTCTCTCTCTCTCTGTGTGTCGTCTTATCTCATATTTATAACAAACAAACATTTTTTGTTTTAAAAAAAAACATTTCATTTTAATGATACTAATGATAATTAAAAATAAATACAGTATATGTAAAAATTAATTGACATTTTTATAGCTAAAAAGTTTTATATATATATATATATACCATATTATGAGGAATGTTGTCTTCAAAAAAAAAAATAAAAAAATTTTGGCACTGATATTATAAAATTATATGCTATTTATAGCATACATATTATATATATACTGTATGTCTATCTAATAAACAGTTAGTAGTAGTAGTAGTTTAAGAGCCCGGTGTTGTTGGCAATAACGGGATAACAAACTATACGTATATATATTGTATAAGATATTAAAGTAGTATATAATGTGGATATAAATATCACCTAAAAATTATATATATATATCCACAGATCAGATCCGATATAACAGCCCATCATTTCTTGTTTTTTCACACTATTTTTTTTTCTCTCTCTCTCTCTCTCTCTCTCTCTCTCTCTCTGTCTATCAATTAGTTGATCCAAATTGTGTGTCCAAAAACCTCCAGAGAGAGAGAGAGAGAGAGTTGGCACAGAAATTGATGGAAACGATAGTATGTTTAACTCTTCCACAGAAAATGAAGAAGAGTTAACTAACCTTTCTTTGCCATTGTTTTTAAACAGATATACTGTAATAATACTGAGAAAAAAACTGAAAAACTATTTTTGAAGACTTCAATGGTTTCGTATCGTTTGTTTTGCAAAACTTTTTTTAAAAAAAAAGGATTTTATATAATAATAATTTTTGTTAGTATTCTTAGTATTTATATCTATATATTATAGTATATGAGGAATAACTTACAACACAAATCATTTGATTTGATTTTAAAAAAAAAAACGTTTTTTAATTTTTTTTTTTGGCAAAAGATCACCACTGAAATTGTTGTACTATTTATAGCATAGATATTATTATAATGAGAGAGAGAGAGAGAGAGAGAAACAGTTAGTTGTTTTTAGGGATCTTCATCAGTGACTGTGTGTTGTTGGCAACCGATTGACTACATGTCTTATATTATTAGTAGGATATCTAATATACCACTAAACTACTACTACATCCCTATCCCTCTCTCTCTCTCTCTCTCTCTCTCTCTCTCTCTCTCTCTCTCTTTCATCCCAGTGATGATGAGGAGGAGTAGTATAGGAAACCCAATAATAATATCATGAGAGCTATCACTTGATGTTAATGTTGTGTTTGTTTGTTTGATTTCCCAGTTATTTAATATTTTGATTTCTCGTTCAATAATATATATATATCCCAACAAAAATCGTTTTTTTTTTATGGTTTGGTTTGTCCAACAAAACAGTCGGTGCAATGAAATGAGAAATGCACCCAACTTTCCCCCGCATAGAGTCAGAGTTGGCTAACCTTTTTGTTTTTGTTTTGTCTGATTTAAAAAAAAAAAACGAAAAATTATATATAAGTATAAATATTATTGAATTGTTCGCCAGATTTAGTTGTTCATCAGTTAATAGTTTTTTAAAAAATATAATAATTTAAATATTTAACCGAAACTTATTGTGCAAATTGGATATATATATATATATATTTAAAAAAATAAATAAATATTTTTTTATTAGTGAAAGTGAGAGAAAACTTTAAAAAAGTCTATTAAAAAATATCACACAAATGTTTATTTAAACCCAAAAAATAAATCTATAAATAAAAAGTTTTATTTATATATATATATATATATATATATATATATATATATTAAAATTTAGTTAGTTTTGTGTTTGTGTGTATAAATAAATATGTATTCATATAAATATAATAAAAGAGATATCAGAGATAAATGTCCGTCTCTTTGGTCATATGAGGACACATTGTCGTCGTCGCCGTCGTCGTCGTCCTCGTTGTTGTCGACTAGGAGGACGTCGGCGGCGACATCAACGACAATAGGTGCCCAATCTATGGGCACTACCGGCGGGGGTAGCTCTGGTGTCCTAATGAGGTCGTGCTCTAGTTTTTTGCATCGATTCTCCTCCAGACTCAAACTCCAGACACAGTTGTCATCATCGACTACTACCACCACCTCTTCCTCGACAATAGTCGGCGGCAGTAGTAGTATTGGCGGCAGCGATGGTGACGACGGCCACCACCACCACAACCAGAGACATAGACTTGTCTTCAATGATGATAACAATAGCGATGATAATAATAATAATAATACTGATGACTATGTAAATGATTTTTTTTTTAAATATTTAATGAATTATTAAATTGTGTGGCAATTAATTAAATTAATTTATTAGTAATAATAATAATTAAAAGTTTAACTACACTTACTGTACATATACTGTATATCATATATATATAAAAATTAATTAATTAAATATAATTGATTTATACACATATATATATATATATATATTTTTACAAAAAATAAAAAATAAATAAATTTGTTTGCATTTTAATCTCTAAATTGATTGCTTATCATAAAAACCTAACTACTAATCACTGCTTCTGTATGTTTTTTATTTTTTTAAATATATATATATATCTATAACTATAGACCACCCGAACCGAATCATCGGCCCATTGTCGGGCGGCCAGTATAGAGGACGATGCCGACGGTCATCTGATCTACAAGGATGGCGACGTACTGCAGGAACGTTACAAAATTGTGTCGACACTCGGAGAGGGAACGTTCGGCAAAGTCGTACGGGTAGTGGATCTACGATCGGACGAACTGATGGCACTGAAGATTATCAAAAATGTCAAGAAATACAGGGACGCAGCGAAACTGGAGATCAATGTATTGGAAAAGATTACCGAAAAGGATCCCAAAGGCAAAAAGTGTGGCTAAAATAAAAACCGATAAATTTATTTTTTATAATAAGACAAACACACATATAAACAAAAAATTATCGCTTATTATATCAAATGTCAGAGTTAGATATCAATGTCCTCCTCTTTCTCTCTCTCTCTCCCTCTCTCTCTCTCTCTCACCCACTCGATGGTCAATCTTCTCCCGGATGATGACTGATTATTATTGTAGATTATGTGTGAAAATGTTGGACTGGTTTGACTATCACGGACACATGTGTATCGCTTTCGAGATTCTCGGTCTATCAGTATTTGATTTTATGAAAGACAATAACTATCAGCCGTATACTATCGACCAGTGCCGACATATTGGCTACCAATTGGTTTACGCGGTCAGGTTTTTACATCAAAATCAGTTGACTCATACGGATCTGAAACCCGAAAATATATTGTTTACAAATTCCGAATACGATTTGTTATATAACTCGAAAAAAGTTTGTATTATATTTGATTGAATAATTTAAATGAATAATCTGTTTAATTGTCTTATAATTGTTTGTCTATTTGGTGGTAAACCCTATTGTCAATCATCGACTACACTACCACTCCAACAACAATAACAACAATAACCAGAAACGTGATGTCCGACGGGTAAAGAATACACACATAAAACTGATCGATTTCGGTTCGGCCACTTTCGACGACGAACACCATTCGACAATTGTGTCGACCCGCCACTACCGGGCGCCAGAAGTGATACTAGAGCTCGGTTGGGCTCAACCATGTGATGTCTGGAGCGTCGGCTGTATACTATTTGAACTATATCTGGGCATAACCCTGTTCCAGACTCACGATAATCGTGAGCATCTGGCCATGATGGAAAGGATACTCGGGCCACTACCCTATAGGATGTGCCGCAAAACTAAGTAATACTACATATATATATATATATTAATTAGTGGATCAGCTAATTGATTTTGGATTTTTTTTTTACAGAACTAATTACTTCTATCACGGAAGACTAAACTGGGACGAAAAGTCGTCCAATGGACGGTATGTCCGGGAAAATTGTAAACCATTGCACAGGTATGCCCTGACCGACGACGACGATCATCGGCTACTGTTCGACTTAATTGCCCGAATGCTCGAATACGAGCCGAATCATCGGCTATCGTTGACCGACGCACTGGATCATCATTTTTTTCGTAAACTACCGCTCGAGTATCGATTGCACGAATTGGATGCCCTGGAAGACGGATCAGACGGCGGCGGTGACGACGATAGAGACATCAAGAGCTCGTTGGGTGGCGATTGTCGTCAGCGATCGCACAGTCTTTCGAGATAATGGATTAGACAAACAAAACAAAAAACAAAATAATTTGTACTCAAATTAAAACAAAACAAAAAAAAAATAATTATTTTAATAATTAAATTATTATTATCTTTAAGTTTGAGGCGATTATTATAATAATTGAGATAAAAAAATAGTTTTGAGATAATTGCTATTATTATTAATTAATTAAATAAATAAATAAATAAATTTAAATATTTTATTTACTTTATACCTATAACTATAAAAAATAATAAATAAAACAATACACACAACAAAAATAATTAAAAAAAAAATAAAGACAATTGAATTGCTATTTGTTTATACAATTAAAAATCCATTGAATTATTATTATTATTATTGATATTATATAAACAGTACTATATATATGTATTGACTATTTATTTCAATTAATTATTTTTTTCCAAAAAAAAAGAAAATTAAAACAAATAAATCAAATTATAATTCTGTATTTTTAAAAATGTTTTTCTATTTAATTATATATATATATATATATATATATATATATATATATATATGTTTTCAATGATTTATTTTTTTAATGATTGAATATTTATTACAGTAATTATTATTTTCTAAAAAAAACTTATCAAAAAAATATTTGTTTATTTTTTAGTAACAAAATTAAAAAAAATAATAATTTTCTTTCAATATAATCCAAATATAATTTTTTTTAATTTAAATTATTATAAAAAATATAATTAATATATTTAATTCAATTTATTTAAATTAAGTTATTAATATTAAAATGGCATTATTATTTAAAAAAATATATTTAAATTAATTAATTGCATTTAAAAAAAAATGTAATCTATATTAATTTTAAATTTTTTAAAAACAGTTTTTAAAAAATAGTACAATTGCCAGAGTATTTATTTTTTTTGTTGAAAAAAATCTTAAGCCGATTAAAAATCTATTTTTAATTTTGTTATTATTTTTTTTAAAAAAAAACTAGTGTTTAATATGTGTGATGTCATGTAAATATGTGTCGAAAATAGTTATTATTATCAATATTATTATAAATTTAAATTATTTATTATCGTAGTATTATTACTAATGCTATGCTAATGTGATATTTATTTATTTATTATTATTTTTGGTTTTATCTAATAAATTATTTCTTATAATAATATCATTAATAATAATAATAATAAATATATCTTTAAAAAATTTAATAAAAATAATTTAGACTATTTATATATATATATAAATATATATATTAAAAATGATAATTGTTTATTTTCGGTAAATCATAAAATTATTTTTACAACAAAAATTTATCAGGGTCAACTTATAATAATAATCAATGAATAAATTAATTTAGTCAATAGTCATACAATATATAAATATTTTTTTTGAACAATAATTTAATACTTAAAACTTTTATATAAGTAATTAATTAAAAAGTAATATTTTAACTTAAGTTTACTGTATATATATATATATATTAACAAAAAAATCTATGAGTGTGTGTAAAATCTCAAAACTAATATTATTTTTTTTATAATAGTTTATAGCTTTGGATGAGTAAATAAATTTTATAAAAGTATATTTTAAATAAATTATAATTATAAAAAAATGAATATACAGTATATATATATACTTTATATTTATAACACTGCTCTAAAATTTTATTTTTTTAATTAAAACAAAATAATTTTCAATTACTATAATAAGTCTAACAATTAATAATATTGTATAAAATAATACACCGATATATAAGTGTACTATATATATATATATATATATATATATATATATATATAACTATATACATATAACTATATATATATAACTATATATATATAACTATATATATATATAACTATATATATATAACTATATATATATAACTATATATATACAGTATATTAGTTATTATTATTATTATAAGCCATAACTCGTAGAGTATGATAATAGTAACGCAATTCACTAATAGTATTGTCGGCCAAAAATTGTTTCCACGCGATAGGATTGGACACCGACTCACCCATAGAGGGGTCCGATGGAGGGCTAAAGTGGGCGTCAAAAACAGTGTCCCACAAGTGTTCAGCCAATTCATTGTGAAACTCGTGTCGATTATCATCATTGAAATTAATACGAAAATCTTCAACAATTACTGGCATAAAATCTATTGATTAAAAAAAATCATTCATTCATTCAATAATAATATTTTTTTTTTAAAAAAAAGACAATTAGTTTTTACAAAAAAATAAATAAATAAAACATAAAAACTAACCGATAATCTGTTTGCGAGTCATTAAATGATTTTTAGCAAATAATTTAAATTTTTTAATTTGAAACCCGTTGTCGACTAAACACTGTTTCCAAACAGTCATCTGTCTATCAATCGATGGATACCACTGTTGTTGTTGTAGTTGTTTCTCAACCCTATTATTATTATTATAGAAAAGTTTTTTATTCAAATCGGCAGTAATAACAATATTTGCATAAAACAGTCCACCGCTGGTCAACAATCGTCCAATGATTTCCATTACACGATACTTATCGGGTATAAAGTGTAACATAAAACTAGTGAACAGTAGATCTACTTTGGACTCCAATTGTCTGATTCGTGGACTCAACTCAGGCCACGAAACAGTCATGTCTTGCAGGACATACTCAATGGTCGGGTCGTCCGTATTGTTGGCCAAAGCGTGTGTCAGCATTTCGAGTACGACATCGACGGCTACCACTTGTTTGTGCGGTACGTTTTGGGACAACAATCGGGTAACTCTGCCGTCACCGAAGCCCAGGTCAACAATCAGATCATATGAACTGAAAATATTTTTTTTGTTTTTTTAAATATTTATTTTTAATTCTCTCTCTCTCTCTCTCTCTCTCTCTCTCTCTCTCTCTCTCTCTCTCTCTCTCTCTCTGTTAAAAAAGTGGTTTTAAATATTTATTTTGACTGTTAATCAATTCAAACGCCTCTAATAGATAATCATCCACTTTGTAGGTCAATGTTACGTAATCTTCGGGTTTTATTTGATTCATAATTTCTATTGATTTTTTAAAAAAATAAATAAAAGTTTTATTAGATTTAGATTTAATAAGATTTACTATATTTAAAACTATAATAAATATTAACAATAAGTTATATTGTTTTTTACCTATAGATTAGAATTTTAATTTTTTTTTGAAATATATAAGCTAGCTTAATTTCAAACTTACAATAAAATTTTGAAAATAAAAATCAGTTATATATGTTATAACTTTATACACAATTTTTTTAAAAATATAATAATCATGAATTGCATAATTGAATCTACATTTTTTTAATACTAGTTACTTAAATAAAAAATTATTAATTAAAAAGCTAGTAGTTAATTAACAAAACACACACACATTTGATAATAATCACTAAATATATTTATAGTATATTAATTTTTTGAAATATTATCCTTATGACTTTTTATAAAATTTTATTTTTAAAAAATATATATTATATTTGTACAAACAAAATGAAATATTATTTAAAAATAATTAAATTATAATCTATTGTTAATTATTATATTAGTTAGTAAATAAAATTAATACTACTACTACTATTAATAATTAATTAATTACAATTACAATTATTGACTTAAATATCTATTAAAAAAATGATCAAATTTTTTTTATTGATATTATATACATATTGATATAATATCCAAATTAATAATTTTAAACATTTTATAATAACTAAACAAGTAATGTATATTATTATTATTATTATTATTAGTTAAGTTATTTAAATTTTACATTTTTTTGCAAATTAATATTCAATTATTGTTATATATTCTATATATTAGTTTTATTTTTTAAAGTAACTTATTATTATTAAATGTTAAACATTATTAAAAAATATATAATTTACTGAATCATAAGTTTCATAATAAAAAACTCATAATCAATGTTTTTATTAAATTTTGTAAATCATTAATAACTAGTTTTATTTTATAATTATAAATTTATAATTAATTGCTAATCTTATTATTTAGCATTAAATATAAAAATATATATAAAATTCAATTCAATTAAGTATTAGCTTATTGTTGTTTCAATATTATCATAATGACTTTTTATAAAATTAGTTAAAAAAAATATTTATATGAAAATGCTTAATATAACGAATAAATTTTTATTTAAGAATATATATATATACATGTACAATCAAATTAAATATTATTTAAAAATAATTAAATTATAATCTATTGTTAAATATTATATTAGTTAGTAAATAAAATTAATAATACTATTATTATTATTATTATTGACAATAATTAATTAATTAATTACAATTATTAATATTAACTTAAATATCAATAATAAAATGGATAAAAATCTCGAAAAAATCTTAGGGGATGTAGGGTGGGGTGAACAGCAAATTACCAGTAAATTCCCAATAAATTCCCAATAAATTCCCAATAAATTCTCAATAAATTCCCAATAAATTCCCAATAAATTCCCAATAAATTCCCAATAAATTCTCACATAAATTTCATAATAAAGAAAAATATTCTTAAATTAATATTTTAAAATTCATCAAATATATTCTCAAACTAATAATATTATTTTTAAAATATTAAATAATAAATTTTACTAATATAATTACTTGTTTCTACTATTTAATTAATTATTTACAATGTTTTTGTTATGTTAACAATAATGATATTTCATTGTATTTATTATTATTGGAATTATTAAATCTGGAAAATACTGATCAATTTGTTTATAAATAAGCATAAACAATTATTATTATAAATTTATAAAATAAAAACATCATTATATTTCTAAAAAAAATTTGGAGGGAATTTATTAGTGAACTATCAAACCTTGTGATGCCTGAACACTAAATATATTTTTTTTTGTTAAGTATTTAACAAGTTTTATATGAATAACTATTAATTTTGATGATTATTAATAATTATAAATATATATATATATAAAATTCAATTCAATTAATTGCTTATTGGTTGTAAAATATTAATTAAACAGTAAAAGTATTATTAAGATTATTAAAACTTAATTTATATAATTTTATTAATTTACTACAATATATATATACACACATGAGTATATTAGTTATATACTAAATATAAATTTATATTTATTATAAT